TTCCGTGTGCGCAGATTGGCCTCAATGTCTTTCAGTTACTTGCAAACCACACAAAGATGAAGGGCTGTGCCCAACCCCGTTTTGGAGATTTTGTCTATTCGGCACTCTGCATATAGAGCATTGAGTATTCAGCACTCTGCAGATAGAACATTGTGTATTCCGCACGCTGGAGATAGAACATTGTTGTAAGGACGCGTCGTGGTGCAGTTAACGCTCCAGTGATTTAGCTCATTGCATCGGTGACATCTTGTTCCATGAGCAAGGCACTTGCCTGCCCCATGCCAGGTGTCACATTTCTTGCATTTATACTTCTCGTTGGCAGGCTGGTCAGCCCTGCCTTGAGCAGCCGATGGTCCAGCTGCAGCTTTGTAGGATGGCCCCTTTGTGCTTGGGCATCTTTCAGCTTCATTTTTCCTCCGCCCTGCTGCTGCTGCTGTGGCTGCTGATAGTTTTGTCTCCGACGCATTTCGCGAAACGGCTGAAAGCCTTCGTTCACAGCATCGACATGAGCCTCCTCATTTTGAAAGGTTCGACCCTGTCTGATGGCTGTGGATTCAGCGGATTTATGCATATCAATGATCTCTTGAAGGCTAGCAGACGCCCGCGAGCGCAGCAATTCTTGAAGATTATCATCGTATACACCCCAGATCAGTTTGTCATGGAGCATGCTGTCCTGAATCACCCCATACTCACAACTCTTTATCAGATTGCGGTGGTCAGTGAGCCAATTACCGAATGATTCCGCTGATTTCTGATTGCAGCTCATGAACCGCTCACGGTGCTAGAGCGTCCTCCCCTTCCGCTGCAAGCGGGTGAGGTGTGCTCGGCATCCTGCTCCTATTTCTACTGCGCCTGAACGCCGTCTTGGACTGGCGTAGCTCGGCGCAACTACTCAGCTCGTTTGGGCTCGGGCTCAACGGCAAGCTTAACTAAAAGTCAAGGGGGCCGTTAAAGCGCCAAGAGGAAATGCAGGCTGGACTTCTAGTCATGGTTGTACTCCCAAAACACCAAGAAAAACCGTTACTAAGACGTGGCGTCCTGCCCGGCGACAGCGCGGGAAAAGGCAAGGGCTGCTCGGCTCGAAACCAAGAATTCACCTGCCGATCCACCACGAAGCAGCACTGAACAAAGCACACACCACTTCCTGGACACACTCCTAGACACGAAATACTCGTAAAACGCACGAGACACAACGTCCCTTGTCCCCACCGACAGCCAATAGCCAACGGCCCTACTCCTCTTCCCTTAAACCGCTGCCACCACTGTTATAATGTGCGGTATGGGTGAGGAGGCTAGAGAAAGAGCAGGGTTTACACTGGCACAGTAACAGGGTTTGTTTATGCCAAACACAGGGCACACAGGGCACACACAAGACACAGGGCACGCGCCGGTCGTCCCCCAGTGAGAAATGAGTGTTCGAATCGACCTCGAATCGACGTCGTCTTCTCGAGAAGTTATCGTTGGTCCTGAGACGAAGTTGTCGACGAAATTTCGATGTTACTCGAAAAGTGCCCTATGACACGGCTTAACTCAGCTAATGGGTCTTAAAGTGTTACAGAACGGTTCCTGGTACTAAATTGCAAGAAATTTCGTATTGTACATGATCGATG